TTTGGCAGAGTCCCCCGAGCCCTGAGAGAGGCAGGAAGAGGCTGCCAACTACCAGACAGTCACCAGAGGCACAGCAGCAGCTGCCTCCAGTCCCCTTTGGCATCCTTGATCCCTGGATATTTGCTAAAGGCCTCTCTGCAGCAGCAGCAGTGTGGAAAGATCTCCCTTTGGAAGGGGAAAGGCTCTTGTCGGTGGGACTGGCTTCCCCCAGAGTCTGCCAGCAACCACTGCAACCAGCCAGGGAACATAAAGCTGTCTTTGGAGAGATTCCCAAGGGCTGCAGGGATGCAGCAGTGTCCTGCTCCATCCGCAGCCCTGCCGGGCCACACCAGTTCCCTCACGAGCCCCGTACCTCCAGGCGGGTCAGGGCCATGCGGACACCCCTCACCCGCTGCCCGTCAGCGGTGGGCAGCACCTCCTGGGGACTGCACTGGAACTTCAGCCCCCACTCCCGGGGGGCTGCTGCCCGCACTGCCGCTGCCTGCGTCTCCATCTCCATCATCTTCTGCCCAGGCTTCTCCAGAGCTGTTTTGATCATCAGCTCAGTCAGTCGCTTCCTGGGTCTGGGGGCATCTAGGAGGAAAGAGAGAGCTTCAGGACAGGAACCACAGCAAAAGCCCCTCGGGGGACAGCACGGAGCCAAGGCCACCTCCAGGCAGTTTCAGTGGTATTCGAGCGTCCCTTTGGAGTTTGTCACGCCAATGGGAGTCCCATGCCTGTGAGATGACAAACTGCAGTCAAAGCGACCAGGAGAGCTCCTGAGGCTTGAGGCCAGTGGAACACACAAATCAAAGCCTGCGATTTTGCTGTCTTGCTGGTGCTCGGAGGCAGCAGCCTGTGGAGAAGAGCAAGTCTCTGGACACCCTTGAACTCAGTGTTTTCTTTTTAGCTCTACAGGAAGCTCTAAAATCAATGGCCTTGGGATCTCTCCTGCAAGGTTCCCCAGCCCTCCTGAACCTCCTGCCCTCATCACTCAGAGTAAGCATCACTCCCAAGCAGCAAAGCGGCTGCACAAACAGAGAAACAGGCTGTTTCCTTGTCTTTGTGGTCTCCTAGCACTCTGAGGACGAGTCACACCATGGTCACTCAGCTTCCACACGCCATGCATTAAGGACAGGACAAGAGTTTCTCCTGTGCACATTCTGAGCATCTCCAGATCACTCCTAGGCACTTGCCTGTCAAGGTGGGTCCCTGTCTGGAGAGGCATGGCATGCTTCCCTCACCTTTAACAGCATTTTCGAGGCCTGTGAAGTCAGCAGGGTTGAGGACAGGTCTGGTACCAGGCAGGTTTATCATCTCCCGCAGCTCCTGGGAATTGCAGGCAGCAATATTACCTCCAGCACAGAAAGGTCATCCAACAGCCCTGGGCCTCCTTCCTCAGCAGTCCAGGAAGGAGGACACCCAAGTTCATCCCTAGACCACCTCTTCCCACCAGGGACAGATGGCCTGGGGCTCAACGCTGGCAAACACGGCTGCCCTCCAGCACCCTCAGCCTTACCTTGATAGTGAAAGCAACTTGGAGAGGCCCCCTCCTGCCAACCAGCCAGACGCGCTTCACCTTGCTGCAGGCGAGAGCTGCCAGGGAGCTGTCAGTGATGTCTGTCTTCTGCAAGACAGAGAGAGAAGAGTGGGACGAGGGCAGATGTGGAGGGAGCTGGGGGAAGGCACAGCCTCTGAAGGTGAAAAATCAGCAGAAAAGCAGGCTGTGCCTGCAGAGAGCCTGGGCAAGGAGGGAAAACAAGGCATGTCCTTTTGCACAGAGCTATTTGCACAGCTGGTCCCTCATCACTGAATGTACTATCTGAGGCTGTAATGCACTAGAGGTAACGAGCCAGCACCCCCTGAGATTGCCTCAGGAGAGCCATCCAAGCAGGTTAACCTTGGGGCTAACAGAGCAAAGCCTTCCAGTGATCTCGATCTTGAGGTGCCTTCAGATGCTATTGGGTGACTTCCCAGCTCAGCATATACAGGTACTTGAGTGAAACCCACGGTAAACCACAGCTCAAATCACTCCCTGTCCGTCCCAGGCAGCTCCAAACACAAGCATCTCGTGGCTTGACTGATGGTTGGTGTCCTGCAGCAACCCCATGCTCTGTTTCAATCTTGTGCGTGTATCTAGATTGCAAGAAGATCTTTTCCAGAGAAGACATGCTGGAAGGGACACCAGGTAACCAGGATAAACCATTCTTCTTAACAGGAAACCGCCTGCACACCCTGGCACTCATTTCCAGTGCTGTGTCCTTCACAACATTGCTTCCCAGACTGCTTTAGTCCCTGGTTGGCAGTGCCTCCAAGGTTGGTTTGGTTTTTTTTTAATTTAATTTAGATATTAATACAGGAAGTTGTTGTACAGCTGTAACAACCCTCATGGCATTTCTCCAGGAAGGAGAGCCTTTGCTACCAACATCTGGGGCAGCAGCTGCACAGAGCAGCTGGTGCACACCAGCTACCAGCTGCCTATGGGGGAGCACAGCAGCGGGAGGAGAGGTCCATCAGCTTGGAGCAGCCACCAGCACGCCCAGGGCTACCAGCAGAAACCAGGCTGCTGCCCTCAGCTACAGTAGAAAAAAAAATAATCCCAACACAAGAAGCTTCTAGGTTGGTGGTGGAAAAGGATGAGCAGCTCCTCCTCTGTCATGGAAAAGGAAGTGACAAAGCTCAGTCACCATCCTTTTAGGTACCAGCAGCCCAGGAGGCAGCAGCAATCCAGAGAGCTCTGCAGTGTAAGCCAAGGCACAGCCACAGCCTTGGATCACACCCTATGGACTGTGAATCCATGGGGTGCGCCCAAAGGGCAACAGCCTTCCTTGAGGAAAGATCCCAAAGACAGGAGAGTCTGAGGTTTTGCTGAGACGGGTGGGAACCAGCATCCACCCCGCAAGAAGAGAATTTGGGGCCCAGGGTGTCTTTGTGGCATGGAGTGCCCCTGACTCACCCTGAGGAGATCCAGTGGAGACAGGAGGATCCGGGCAATATCCAGCGCCACGTTGCCATGACCCAGAATCAACGCTGTCTCACAGCTCAGGTCGGGCTTCAGCTGCAGGGAGAGAAAGACCCAGCCATGAGTGAATCCACCCGGCCTCTGCCATGTCCATCCCCTCAGATCCGCTCCCACCACCCCAATTCCCTTCCACTCAAAAAGAGGTGATGCAGACAGGGAAACTCCACAACAGCCTCCTCCTCACGCAGACATAGTGACACAGCCACTCCAGGCATCCCAGCCGATCCCTCTCCCTACGATGGTATCTCTGGGAGCAGGAGTTGTTTCAGCCAAAAAACCCACTCAGGCCAAAGCAGAGCATCACCCCCCCCAGCCTCCCATCTGGCTCGGCCAAAACGTGCTGCCAACCTACAGAGCCAGCTAATCCGCTCTCACTGATGTGCAAATTGTTCACATTTCTACCATCTAAGAAGGATTTAACATGGTGCCTGCTAATCTTGTCCAATTGCGGGCCTTTCAGGACTTAATCTGGAGCTGGATGCCTGTGTTCAGATGCGGGACGGGGAGGAAGGGCAGGGGAACACACCGCTGTACTCACATCCCGGTTCTCGGGCAGCCCGTTGTACCAGCCCACAAATGCTCGGGCTGAATAAACGCCGGAGAGGTTCTCTCCCGGGATCCCCAGGACCCGGTTATCTTCAGCACCGTAACTCTGAGGAGGGAGCAGACACAGTCAGAGATGTCACCGTGTGCAGGGTTTGATATCAAAACACAAATGTCCCCTTCCAGCTGCTGCCAGGGACCCCGCATGGCTGCCAACCCTTCCCAGGGGACAGGATACTCAACAGAGGGCTAAACACAGCCTGAGCACAGGGGCTTCATTCACCCCACCCCACTGACCTCCTTGGGCCAAATTTGACCTCCTTGGGCCAAGGCAGAGCACGACAAGCTGAGGACTGAACAGGAGGGACAAATCCATGTCAGGCTGAAAGAGGTATTGGCCATCAAGGGAAGAAGTTCCTCAACCGCTGCACCTTGCAGCGGGGTCTCAGGAACCTGCGTTTGATGCCGTGCTCTAGCACGTGCTCCCTGCAAGGCTTTGGACACGGCTTGTAGCACCTATGCTGTCTTGAGGCCGGGCAGAGTTTACCACGGTAATAAGGCACCCAGAAACACCTCACCTGAACCCTCTTCCCAAGACCCCAGTGGGGAATAACCCCACAGACCTTCCCCATGACTTCTGGGGAGCAAAGGCAGCCCTGGCTCTGGGGCACGGTACCCACCAGCACCACAGCGTGGTAAGCCTGCTGCAGCTCTGCCACCGTGACGTCCCTCCCCACGGCAACATTCCCGTAGTAGGCGCAGCGTTCCGAGCGTGCCGTCTGCGTGAAGGCGTTGATCACGTTCTGCCGAGATCAAACAAGTGCCGGGGTGTTACATCTGAGCCACAGCCGGGGCCAAGGCCTCCTGCTGTCCCATCCCCCCAGCCTTGAGATGCTTCTCCCCCTCTCTGGGTCAGTTATTCTGAGACTCTTATCTAACAACAGCCACAGATAATTCACGGGGAGATAAGCACTGCTGTGACTTGGCACTCTTTCCACCATGCTTTGTGGAAAGGAGGATCCCTCTTTTTCACCCGCCTGGGGAGGATGGGACCACTTCAATACCTTCAGTCCTCTGAATAAATCCCTTTGTAGGAGAAAACTTCTCGAAGGGGAGGCTTGCAAGGGAGCCCTGCCAAACAAGCCCTTCCATCGAGGGTGCTGACTGCCAAACCCCCTCTCATCTCAGCCCTTCCTGACGCCCACTTCATCAAGAGAAGACGCAGGGCAGGACGGTGCCCAAAGCCTTTTCTTCTGAGCAATGGGGGCTACGCAGCAGAACAACCACTTCTTCCCCCGCAGCTCCAGCCCGAGTCAGCGCGGAAGCTGCCCCAAACCCACATCCAGTACGGCCACCCCTCCTCTCTCAGCTCAAAGGGATTCAGGTGTTTCAGTCTGATGATCTCCAAGGGTTAAACAGGGAAACTATCACAAGACATTGGTGTGTCTGGGTCTCCTGTGTCCTCCCACTGCAACCACCTCCCCACAGCTCAGACACAGCAGATACTCCTGGGTACAACTCGCACCCACTGTGAGGCAAAGGAAAATGTTTGATTTCAAAGAGCTCCTTGGTTTAACTTCTCACCCAGGTGTGCACCTCCCACATGGAGCCCCTCTCCATCTCCACCACCCCTAATAGCAGTTCTGTGTGTTCTCAGGCATGTAAAACGGGTATGGACTGAGCACACACAGCCATGCTCCCTCAGCATGAGGGCTGGAGTCTGTCCCAGCAGCTGCAGCAAGCGGGCAAGATCCTGCTGCCATAAAGTTTTCCGGTACAAAGAAACCCATCTGTGCTCCTTGCTCTTGCTCTAGGCCAGGCTGACCAGCACAGGGAGCACCAACTCCCATCACAAGCCCCTGTTTTGACCCACTCTCCAGAGCTGTAACGCCAGACGTCCTGTATCACCTGGCCATGGCCTTGTTGGGTCTCAGCAGGGACAAGGAGGAGACTTGGACCTCTCCAGAGTGACAGCTCCACCCCTCAGTAAGCCTTGAGGCACTATGAAGGACACCGACTGCCTGGCCTGCGCCCACCACCACCACTGTGTTCGACTGCATGAGTGAGGGGCCGAGCCAGCACTAACCTTCACTTCGGGGTGGTCTGGGGCCACCCCAAAACGGACGAGCCCAAAGGGAACAGGCAGCTTCTCATAGATGTCCACTCGGGCCCCGCTGTGGTGCTGCAGGAGAAGGAAGTCATGGTTAAGGGACAAGGACAGAAAGACCACCTGAGCCCAGCAGCTCAGGAGGGACACACATCGCTCGCTTGCTGCTGGGGCAGGATGGAGGGTTGCCCCAACATCCCATAGCCAGAAAGAGCCTCTTCCATGCGCTGGATGATGCTGTATCTGCTACTACCAGCTCAGATTGCAAGGTGTAACAGGAAGCGTGACCTCAACCACCATCAAATACATCTTGTGAGGGACTCCATCCTCTCACCCACCCCACAGCCCGTCTTCCACACTAACCTGGTGGATATCCAGCACCCGGGGGGCTGACGAAAGAGCCTCCACACCAGCTGGGAAGCACCCAGTGCAGCACTCTGGGTGCTGGTGGACCTGCCAGGCCATCTGCCAGCCCCTGGCAGAGATGTCCATGCCCTGAGATCCTCCTGTGCTGAGTCGCATCAGGGTCAGATCTTTAGACAGACGTTTCACTGCAAGGCTTTTGTTATCGTGTATTTTGAGTCAGCCTCTTCCCAGAGATTAAGCAGCCCTGAAATTTGTCCCTGAGGTTTAGTACCAGCTATTTTCCAACACATACCAGAGACAACACAGCACGGTTTAATCACGGGGTTAAGCTGCTGCATCTCTGGTCGGTGCCAGCAGCCTCGTTCTGTGCTCAGGTCTCATTTCCCGACAGAGACCTGACTTCCCAAAGCACCAGCATTCACAGACACCAGCTAAAGACCACCCGTGGGCCTTAATTCAACTGGGGGAGGAGGAGGCAGGAGAGCAGGTCCTGCACGTTCCCTTTAACACACGGTTAACATCATCCCAGTTGGGTGACAACAGCTCCAAGCAAGGCAGGTCTCTGCTACTTATGTGATTCTAGAAAAATCACTTGGGTTGAACCTTCAGCAACCCAGCCTGGCCTGGGTCTGGCCAGGATGGCCCAGGGGCAGGGCAGGGATGGGGGCAGCAGTACCCACCCCAGGCAAAGGGGGCCAGGAGGACTCTGTGGGGTCAGGGCTGCCCTACGCAGCCCCCCAGCACCACAGACCTGGCTGGAGCGGGGTTGGGAGCCCACAACCCCCCCCCAAACCCCTCAGAGCCAGGCAGGATGGAGATGCCTCCCTCGGCAGACAGGTCCCTGCCCTCACCCGCAGCCACAGCCCACCCCGGTACCTTGAGGATGTGCTGAGCCGTGTAAAACCCCGCGGGCCCACTGCCCACCACGCAGAGCCGAGGAGCCGGGGCAGACG